TTCTAAGACATACTAAATGAGGTTGATTCATGATTTAATTTCACAAATTTGAATAAGGTTGCTACCGCTGCTGTTTCTGAATTTATGGGGGAAGCTGTTTCACACTATCCATCCATAATAAATTATAAGATTCACACCTTCTCAGCATAAAACAAGTTCACATTTGTAAAATTTACATCCACATGTGTTAGGGTGTGTGCGTGCGTGTGTGGTTTTAGATCAGCTACAGACGCGCACAAGTCCACTTTACGACAGACAAGCTTACCCTTATTAGATCAGGTGACTCGGGGAAAAATCTAATAATAATAATAACATTGACTGGTTGGTGTATGCGATGAAGAAGACGTTTTCTTTTATATGGGAATATTTGAAAATAAATACATGAAATATGTCAATATTATGGTTGGGTTGAGTGTTTTGGTGAGCTTTTTGGTCCCTTGATTAAGTGATGACCAAATATCAGCTTAGTGTATATGTAGTAAGTGGTTGGCAGAGTCACTCACTTGGGGATGGGGTTAGTTGTTACGTTGACTTTTTTCTATACGTCCATTGTTAAGCGTATTAATGGTGAGAACGTATATTTCTTTTTATTCAAGAGTACTTAAGGTCAAAGGGGAATAATTGCTTATGCATGAACGGCAATTATTACAACATACGGCCAATGGATATATATATATATATAGAGAGAGAGAGAGAGAGTTACTGCTACTGTGCAACGGGTGGGGCGAGGGAGTTGTTAAGGTACTTAAAAAGTGGGATCGATGAAAGAAACAAACAAATGTTTAGCATTTATTGTTTGCCGGTGACAAAAAGGTGTTAGGAAATATCAAGTTTTGAACGATGGTGACGGTGATTAACAGTGGAATCCTGAGTCGATAGCACAGCTGTAGAATGATCGTCAACCACACCACATGTGGTCCCCGGCCGACGCATACCTTTACCTCGCTAATCCAGCAAAAAGGGAAGACTGAGCAGCATAAGGCTAGCAACCCCATCCTGTAGAAATAAACACCATTGCTACTGAAACTTCAAAGCTATGGCTTGAAGCCCTATGTCCCTTTAGGAACTCAAAGGAATAACAATTTTAAAAATAAAAAGCAATGGAATCCAAGATGTGTGTGTTTCATCTCTATTGGTACCCATTATCTGAATGAAACTGCATCACCAACCTCTCGCTGCCCAGTGACTGATGGTTTTTATCCTACTGAGACTGGAACCCGTCAACGATTGCTTCACATGTCTAAGAGTTAGTAATCTACGTCGTTACGTCACAAGAGCTACCTCTTGTGCAATGGGCTATCTATCCAGTTGCTATTTGTTGACAGAATTTTATTGGACCGATATCGTCTATCTCCTGTAGTATGAACAAACGTTGATGATGTCTGGAGATTTACAATCAGGATGTTATTTTGGCTGATGGTGAATAGCATCAATTGCCTTTAACTGTACACACGCATGCAACACATGAACTCTTTCAATTGCTGATCAAGTTGTATGGCACACAGTATGGGAATTAGTGTTGGAAATGAACGCAGACAGTTGCATAATGAAGACAAGTCAGTCAATAGGTAAGATTATGGAGCATCATCGACTGAAATGGGTTGGTTATGCGGACCCAATAAGATAGCCTTTTCAACAGGAAAATTCGGTTGAAATAGGATCAGGGAAAACAGCAGAGTTAGGGGTGCTCAGATGAAAACAACACTGTGCCAATCAACGAAATCGTTGGAAACTAATCACTCGTCTGAATTACATGATGAAGTTACCGATTATCTGGTTGCTTCATCAGTGGTTCAATGAAAGAATATACACACTGACCACGAAAGTAATCCAGGGTTAGAGTTGCAGCTGACACATATACACACATCTTAACATCCTCTAGCCTGGAAAAGAAGGAAGTTTGAATTTGCGGCTTGCGATCTCAGCCCACCCTTTAGAAACAACACCATAGGTACAAGAAGTTCAAAGAATGAAGCCCTATTTTTTACTCGGAAAGCAAAGGAATGAACAGATTGTCGTCTATACAGTTCGAATCTCTAAGCATATCCCATCAACCACCACCACCCACGTCTAAGTGTAACTTTAGTCATTCAATAATCCAACTTGTTCTCCTTAACTATTGTGTATTTGTGATGTCATCACAACAAATCAACTGGGGGAATTTTTATGAGATAGATCTAAGTTTATTATTGACAGGTTTCAAAACTTCCGTGACTATTTCTACACGCACACACAGACATGAAATATTGTCAGCAATGATAAGAAAGAATCGTCTATTGGCTGTATATTACCTGAAACTCTGTCAGATGTGAATGTTTAGTTCTCCTCTTATCAATATTTAATCTACAATAACATATCTGGATAAGGCTGACATCTCCCCCCCCCACACACACACGTAGTTATTTTATATTTCAGATAAGAATAGTTAATACGATTATGACACTTTCTGATTGTGTAATCCACAAATTTCATCCGATGTTACTGATTAGCTCATATGATAAGTTATCAAAATGGTTGGTTATCATCGTCACGCCTAATTCATATACGTTCTTTTTACTCCTTTACGTCCTGGGTGTGGGATTTATACAGGTCCAAATTTTCACTAACGGTCGCAGCATTGTGAGCTGAACACCACCCAACCATCCCTCTTTGGAGGTTTTAGTTAACAATCAGTAAACAAGGTGAGGTCTATGATTGCATCGGCCAAAAGTTGAAGGTGGTTTAACAGTATTCTACTGTTGGACAACTCAAGGAACGTATCTACTTCTGTTGGATGTTGTGCGTGCAGCTGGAGAACAATTAGAATAAGATGGTGATAATGACGATGATGATGATGATAAGAAGTTGTAGTGTTGTGATAGTATTAATAAAAAATCACTAACATTCTTCAGAAATATATTGTTAGTGTCCTATAAGAAGCACCAACAAAGAATGTGAATCGCCTCACTTTAATCTAGAAAAATTTCATGTTAAAATCAGTCAGACGGCCACTGGAAAATTAAAGTGTGGTGAGAGCTGTCTGCTAGCCAAAATCGGTGAACAGCAATTTACGTCAATGTTTACGTCCCAAATTTTGGTCATAAGAAAAACACGAACAAAGACTTAATGTGGGCGGATACGATTCGCAGATATATGATCTGACCACCAAAGAAACAGCCACAAAGAGATGACAGAAGAACTTTCAGCGAGAAGACAACCCATTAGAAGACGCTGTTTCTCTTCTCACAATAACGATAGTAATAATGTACATAAGAGCACGTCAATATCTGTTGATTTTCTCAATAAACGATATGTTGTATGGCCCTTGTCTTCTGTCGTTCATAGGAGTGCAACGGAAGACGAAGACTTGGCAGAGGTATAGGCACAAAACTTGGGCACTGTTTTGTGGTAGAGGATAACTCCATTATGGATAATAGTTTTATTTTGATAAAATCACACAGTGTCATACAATGAGTAACATTTACTGATGACGAAGTTTGAAGCACAAATTATTACTGCTTATAATCATATCAAGGCACTACTTACACAACCTTCTTCCTTCATTTATGAACATGAGTAAAAACTGATGATTAAACATTTGAACAAGATCAATGCAAGATAAAGTGCATTCGGAAACAGTATTACTGTTATCGATAAAATACAAAAAATAAGAAATAAAATGTTTTTATAGTAAAAATAAATATGTATATTTTTTTTTCCTACACGTTCCCAGTGGAATATAGGGCTCCAAGCTATAGGCTTGAAGATTCCGTAGCAGTGTTGATTTTTTACAGAATGGGGTTGCTAGCCACCTCATATCCAACCTTTCCTCCTTACCAGTCTCACTACTGGTTTAGCGAGGCAAAGGTGTGCGCCGGCCAGGGCTCGAACCTCGGACCATGTGCATGGTCGGCGAGCGTCTTAACCGCTGTGCCACCGACGCACGAAAAAAATATATATTAGTCTATTATTGAGTCATAGGGAGTGATATAATTACTCGGAAGTGGCTTTAGAAGTAAAAAATAAAAGTTGTAAATTACGTGGTGCTCAACAGAACAAGGTTAGAAATTTGATAAGGTTAAAATTGCTACTGAGTGAGAATAAAGGTAGCTGAGTGTCAATAATAGACTACCATACATTTTTGGTAAATGTAAATACAACTGTACTACCGCTGAAGATGAATTCGTCGATAAAAAAATAACTTGTTAGAAAGTTAGAATGTAAATTGAATACATTTTAACACTATTTATTTATTATCCTCTGATTTGACTGGTGGTAATAATATCTTTCATATCTCTGGTATTTGCGTTGAGTCACTTCTACTGCGCATGTGCTGGGTGTAGACACGATGAACAATGATGCAGTAATCAATCTCTCTCTTTCTGCAACTAGCTATATTACTTTTTCGAATTTTAACTATCTCCCACCCACCCTATTGTGTGTGTTAATTCCTTTCCTACTTGTTCATTCTCAATCTTTCCTTTGTTCAACATTAGACTACTTGCCATTAGTAAGTAGTATGATTTTAATATGTTAATTTATAACGATGACATTTGCTTACAACTGCAGTTAAATTACTTGTTCTATTATCATTCTATTAATGTATAGTTCTTATTTTTCTTCTCCTTAAACATTATTTGCTGCATTTACCCTATAGTGTATGCTTTACTATTGAAAGTTGTTTGTTCATATTTGTTTATTCTTTGCTTGGCATTCGCGGGCCGTTTGAACCGACGCGTGGATCGACCTTGACACAGCATTGCTGTTTTTACTTATTGACTGCACAGTGGTTGTGCATTTGACGGCATTTAGCCACAGACACCTCACATTTTGAGGTTTGTATATTATATATCTATTTTTATGTAATAAAGTACCGTATTGCAGAATATCCTGTATTTTGGACTTTACGCGTCACTCTACGTGTGGTTAAATCTATAGTTTGGATTATCGTTTCGGATTTCTTTCGGGAGAAATTCACAGTACTCAAAATTGGTCTTGTTGATCTATTTGGACGATTATCAATGCCGGTTACTCGTAATATGTCTGGAAAACTGGAAAACGCTGAAGAATATCTTCGAGTCAATTTATCTTCACCGCAAGTTTCTTCTTTACCTGTTTCCTTATCTGTTTCTGATAATTTTAAACACACCCCTCATGTCAGCCCAGGTTTTGATAATATTGCTATGGGAGGTAGTGTAGTAGTAGACTCCGATGTTGATTCGGATGTGGCTACCGAATTAGAGATCCTAGAGCTTAAGGTTCAAGAGCTTAGACTTCGCAGCAAACAACGAAAATTGAAGAGCGAGCGCTCTCAACAAGTCAAGACTGCAGCCAGCTGCGTTCGATCTTGCGCCAATCCCTCGGAAAGCCAACTCCTAGACGGTAGCACCATGTATTGTACAGCACAACCATCAGGGTCAAATTGTACTGCAACTCCAGTCCAACCACTCCTGAACTCAGTTAGCCCCATTAGAATGCCTCAAATTGAGATGGATAAGTTCGATGGTACACCGACTAAGTTCTTGAAGTTTATAAGATGCTTTAACATGTTCATAGGAGAACAAACTAATGATGACAACCTACGGTTAATGCATCTTATACACAATTGTGTTGGTATAGCCAAGGAGGCCATAGAGCATTGCATTCTACTGCCCTCTGAGGTAGGCTATAGGAAAGCCATGGGGATTTTACGAAGTCAATTTGGCCAACCTCATGCAGTTTCAGATGCCTTCCTCTCCGAATTACTGTCAGGCCCACAGCTGCAACCTGAAGATATAGTTGGGCTACAACGGTTGTTGAGACAGATGACCAATTGTGAGATAGCCTTATCTCAGATGAATCACATGGCAGACTTGGACTGCTCTACCAACCTTAAGTGCATTGTTCAACGTCTCCCTCGGCACCTACGATGGAAGTGGGCAGAATTGGTAAACGATGGTTTACAGTTTGCTGAACCTAGCTTTCGTTACCTCAAAGAATTCCTCGAAAGGCAACTGTCCTTGGCTACAAGCTGTTACGGCCAGATAGCTAATGGGAATAGGAACAACAACGAAGTAGGGTCCAACGATAAAATGTCCAGAGCTATGCCTTCGCACAGTGTTAATGTCGTGAAGTCACGAGCCCAGAAGTCGTGCATAGTTTGCTTCACAGATCACGACTTATGGGAATGTCAACGCTTTTTGTCGATGAGTCACAAAGAGAGACTAGCAGTGTCAATGCGGCATAAGGTGTGCTTCAACTGTTTGAAATGTAATCACCGAGCTGACACTTGTCGTGCAGCAAGAGGTTGCGATATAGTAGGATGCACTAGACGTCATCATAAACTTCTACACAATGAAGATAATTCAGCATGCAAGACTGTCAACTACTCTAGCACGGAATCCGGAACTTCCTTTTTAGGATATGTGCCGATTCGTATCTTAGGTCCTAAAGGATTTCTAGATACCTATGCCTTTCTTGACAATGGTTCAGATGCTACACTACTGCTGAGTCATGTTGCCCGCCAAATAGGACTGGAAGGGGTTAATACATTGATGCAGGTAACATCTTTCTGTGGAACTACTTCTCAGAATTCATCTAAGGTTGATTTCGAAGTTGAATCCTTAACGGGAGATTACAAGACGAGGGTCAAGAGTGCCTACACCGTGGAAAGCTTACCTGTAAAGAGACCTAAGACTCCTTCAAACGAACAGGTGAAAAAATGGCCTCACCTGGCAGAAATTCCCTTTCTAGACGTCGAATGTAAACAGGTCAGTCTACTAATTGGGACTAATGTACCTGAAGCACACTGGGTGCTGGAGCAGCGTATAGGGAAATCCAACCAACCGTTTGCATCTTTGTCAGTTTTTGGTTGGTATTTATTGGGTTCAGGAGACGAATATAAAGAAGCAACCTCTATCTTCTGCTTAGAGGAAAGTGAATCAGTAGAGAACAAGCCTTTGCGAATGATTGAAGCTGAATTTCAGGACAAGCACTCATGCGAAAGGTCCAGTTCTGAAATAGATAAAGGGGTTCTGAAGGCAACCGATAGGGAGATAAGATTGCGGAACGGACATTATGAAGTTCCATTGACTTGGAAAGAGGACTGGCGTAGATTACCGCCTAATAAGTTTGAGGCAGAACGCAGGCTGGACAGTCTTCAGAAGAGACTAAAAAAGGACGAAAGCCTATTGAAGTCCTACAATCAAATACTAACAGACCATGAGTTGAAGGGTTATATTAGTCGCGTTCCTGACGACTTCTCCAAGAAACGTAGAGTTATCCCTCACCACCCAGTTATGAATCCCCGCAAGCCTGGTAAAATTAGAGTGGTTTTCGATTGTGCCTTTAAATGTAAGGGAATATCCTTGAACGATTGTCCGTATTCGGGACCTGATCTGATGAATGACTTGGCTGGGGTACTATTGAGATTTAAAAAACATCGGATAGCCTTGTCAGCAGATATTGAGGAGATGTTTCTTCAGGTTCACTTACCTGTCAAGGATAAAAGTGCCTTTAGTTTCTTATGGTATTCTGAGGGTAGACTGGACTTACCACCGAGCCTGTATGAATTAAACGTACATCCCTTCGGTGCTACCTCATCACCTTTTTGTGCAGCCTATGCTTTAAAACGAGGCACAAGACGATGGAAACAAGGGCAACTCCTCGCTGATACGTTTTGGAGACGGTGGAAGCGGGAGTACTTGACGACCTTACAATCGCGTTCGACGACATCGAAACTTACAAGTGGGAGACCTAGTACTAGTGGCTGCGGAGCCTTCACCTCACAATCGTTGGTCAATGGGAATAATTACAGGTGTTACGGCAAGCTGTGATGGGTATATCAGAAAAGTGGATATCAAGACACCGAGGGGTATAGTCAACCGAGATGTGCGTAAGGTTTGCCTATTAGAAGGTATTAAGGAGAGATAAGCACTTTGTAGGATATATAGCTGGATAGTGGATGCAGATGTGGCGAGAGTAAATTGTACCATTTCTGTGTCTTACTAGCAGATAGAGTAGGGAAAACCAGGCTGGTTTTGAGGGGGCGGTGTTAATTCCTTTCCTACTTGTTCATTCTCAATCTTTCCTTTGTTCAACATTAGACTACTTGCCATTAGTAAGTAGTATGATTTTATATGTTAATTTATAATGATGACATTTGCTTACAACTGCAGTTAAATTACTTGTTCTATTATCATTCTATTAATGTATAGTTCTTATTTTTCTTCTCCTTAAACATTATTTGCTGCATTTACCCTATAGTGTATGCTTTACTATTGAAAGTTGTTTGTTCATATTTGTTTATTCTTTGCTTGGCATTCGCGGGCCGTTTGAACCGACGCGTGGATCGACCTTGACACAGCATTGCTGTTTTTACTTATTGACTGCACAGTGGTTGTGCATTTGACGGCATTTAGCCACAGACACCTCACATTTTGAGGTTTGTATATTATATATCTATTTTTATGTAATAAAGTACCGTATTGCAGAATATCCTGTATTTTGGACTTTACGCGTCACTCTACGTGTGGTTAAATCTAAAGTTTGGATTATCGTTTCGGATTTCTTTCGGGAGAAATTCACAGTGTGTTTGTGTAAAAATGCATGCAGTGCGATTGCTGAGTTCCTCTTTCTAAATGACTTATCTTCGTAGGGTCAAACATTCTAACCTTTCGACCTATGTAGTTGACCTCACTCAGAGTCATTGGTAGCTATTTTGTAAATTACGTTATTTTGTTTAACAGAGTATTCCTACATGGTCCTTTAGCCTTCATGGCTTGTCTCTGAGTGAGTTTATAGGTTGAAATGCCACCCTGATTGCTGCTTTGTTGAGAATCTTATGTTGGGTTTTCTATGTCCCCTCTTTATATGGTAAAACTGTAGATGCCTTATATTCTCTCTTATTTATCCTATCAATATTAATTTCACCATTAATATCAACAAAAACTACATATTGATTTTAGAGATTTCTGTCCTCAGTAGTCAAACTGCCTATTTGCCCTACTACTGGCTAATCTTTCAGATTTTCTTCCAAACTACTAATAAGTAGATTGACATTATTGCTATGGAACTTCTCATCAGATGGTACAAATTGTGAAGTGACTGCACTTTTATAAAGTAATCCAAGAAATTTTAGGCAACACATCATTCGAAACACTAGCTAAATAAATATAAAAGCCAGGAGAAAATGACATCATGAAATGAAGTGCTTCTGTGGTAACATCCATGAATTCAAATGCTTCTGTCGAGCGAGTTGTATTTATCGTCAGTTAGAATAGGAACATGACTTTTCATTCTTAGTTTTAACTATGAGCGGAATAAAAAGCATTCAATGGTCGATTTTAACACAACTAATCCAAACAAATCACAAAACTAGTGTAGAAGAATCCTTTACAGGTAGTCTATAGTATTAATATTATATAATTGATTGTAAAAAATTATATTTGTAAACTCTCAGCGAGATTGAAATGAATAATTCCAACGTTTCCTGCGTTCATCAGTCTGGTCCGAACTTCTTCAAGGAAATTAATCGAAATTAGCATAACACAGGTTTATATATAAGAAACGGGACATCACTTGTTTTTAAAAACTTTGTTCAATCATGAGTCATGAAACACGTATTAACAAGTATAATAAACAAAATTGTATGAGCTGTGATCAAAATTTGACCTCAGACTTACAGATATTGGTCTACCCTTGTTAAACACTTTAAACACAGTGTGCATGCGTGCGTGCGAATAAACAGTTGTAAAAACATTTCTTAACGTCTCCATAAGAAAATATAGACAATCGGGAATTTTGACCAAGTATTATTAATTAGTGATACATATCCATTTTCATTTATTAATCAGGATTTCCTATGCGTCAGCTAACATCACACCTTCATGTCTGTTTAAAACTGTTGGTATCAAGAATTTTATGATTAGACGAATTTTCAAAATTATAGTGTTTAGGATTAGAGTTTAGTTGAAGCACCCTGTCAAACGTATTACTTTGTCTTCTTTCTGAAGATTGAGCTGCTTTTTTCGACCTACTGGAGTTGTCAGGTGACTCGATAGCTACAGATTTAGGATATGCATTCTGTTGCAGAAAACGGAGAGTGAAAACACGGTGATTGTGCCAATTGCATAATTTCTTTGTTATGGAGACGTTAAGAAATGTTTCACAACTGCTTACCCCCCTCCGCACACATACACACAACACACTCTGTTTAAAGTGTTTAACAAAGGCAGACCAGTATTTGTAAGTCCAAGGTCAAATTTTGATCACAGCTCCTACAATTTTGTTTATTATACTTGTTAATACGTGTTTCATGACTCATGATTGAACAAAGTTTTTAAAAACAAGTGATGTCCCCTTTCTTATATATAAACCTGTGTTATGCTAATTTCGATTAATTTCCTTGAAGAAGTTCGGACCAGATTGATGAACGCAGGAAACGTTGGAATTATTCATTTCAATCTCGGTGAGATTTTACAAATATATTATTATTATATCCCTTAATTCCTAGGGGAACATAGAGCTTCAGCTGCGCGTCTCCATTGCCTTCGGTTTTCTGCCAACTTTTCACCCCGCTCCAAGTCTGCCCACACGCTTTTATCTCCTCCTCACTTGACCTCCTCCAAGTCACCCTTGGACGACTGACTCGCCGTTTCCCATTCGGGTCCCATTCGAGCGATGGCCTAGTGTGTGATGTTGCTGGGTTGTTTTCTGAGAGTATGGCCAATCCACCTCCATTTCTTCCTGCATATTTGTTGCACAAGAGGTTCCTGGTTGGTCCGCTCCTATATATCCCTTCCTGTTGCTGATCTTTTCTGACCCACCATCTCATCTTGAGTAGTATTGAGCGAAGACAGCTGTTGATGAAGGTCTGTAGTTTGTTCGACATGGCCTTCGTGACGCGGCGCCAATTCTCTGATCCGTACAGTAGCAGTGATTTCAAACTGGAGTTGAAAATCCGGATCTTATTTTCATTTTCATGCTGAGTGCTGTTGACCCCACACAGACTTGAGAGTAATGAAATTTTGCTTTGTTTTCCCGATCCTTGCTATGATATCCTCGTCGGTTCCGTCCGCCTGTAGTTGAAATGATGCTTTCCAAGCAGGTGAAGGAGGATGCTTCTTCCAGATTTCTCCCATTTACTTTGATTGTTGCCTGTTGTCGTGTATAGGGTAACGAATAAACTGCCTAAAGCCAGTAAGTGCAAAAACTCCAAACGCCATACACTAGCAGAATTCGCTTAAGGCAATATGTAGCAATGTGTACAAACGACACGATTCCAGCCACTAATCCTACTCTAGAGTAGTGCTGTGGGATTTACAAATTCATAAATACTGCATAACCTTACATGTATTTTTTATATAAACCTCTGTGCTGACTGGATAAATCCCTCCTATCCCTTATTCATTATAACACTTTTATGAACAACAATCGTATTCCATTATGGGTCAATTTTGTTTTGACAAAGTCTCACAGTGTTATACAAAGAGTAATATTTACTGATAACCACGTTTCCAGCACAATTTATTACCACTCATAATCACATCAAGGTACTCACATGACTTCCCAACTTCATTTATATAGTATCATGATTTGAATGGTAGTAGTATTTTCCATATTTCGGGTATGAGTGATGAATCATTCCTATTGCATGTGTTTGGTGTGAACTCGATGAACAAGGATTCAGTAATCAACTTCTCTCTCCACCTATCTAGATTACTTTAAGAATTTGAACTATCTCCCACCCTATTGTGTGGTTGTGTGTTAATGGATGCAGTGCAATTGCTGAGCTTTTTTCTAAATTAATTATCTTCTCGGGGTCAACCATTCTTACCTTAGCTAAATTCTTATGTTCTGACAATCTGACTACCCCTGACCTACTAGTTTGACCTATATAGTTGACATCACTCACAGTCATTGGTAAGTATTTTGTATATTATGTTATTTTGTGTAATTGGGTCAACTGGGTCCTTTGACATACACAGCTTGTCATAACTGAGTGAGTTTGTTGGTTTGAATTCCACCACTCTAATTCCTGCTTTATTCAGAATACTACGTAGTGTCTCAGATGTCCCCTCTTTATATGGTATAACTGTGAATGACTTATATTCTCTCTTATTCATGTTATTATTACTAGTTTCACATTTGTTTTTATTTTGCGTTTGGCATTTTCTGATTTTCCTGATGAATTTTATAGAATAGTTAGATATTTAACACCAACGCCCCTTCTATCTGTTTTATTTCATCATTTAGGTCTTTTCTTGTGCTACTTAGTGCTATGGCTCGGTTTGTTAGACAGCGCTTAACTAAGCCTACCTTAACAGTTAACGGATGAGATGAATTAAAGTCTAAATATCTATTAGAATGTGTTGGTTTTCTATCAACACTAGTGTGTAGTTTGCCTTCTTCTATTCGTTTTATTTAACATTCTAACCTCATAGCTGATTCCCCTTGTTCATCTGCCGCTTCAAATGTGAATTGTATTCCCTACACTAGTGAGTTTATGCATATGTCAAGAAGCTAGAGATATGTTCTGCTTTTAACACTGTGAAAGTGTCACCCACATATCTCCACCATATTTTTGGAGTAGGATTAAATGTATTAAGAGCACTATTTTCCAAGCTGTTCATAAGTATGTCTGCTGCGATAGGGGATATTGGTGATCCCATTGCTACACCTTCAGCTTGTCCTAAATATTTTGCCTTGGAATTTAAATTTTGACTATAAAAACACTTGTCTTATTTCTCATCTGATTGTAATTGATCAATAACCCTCATATTATCATTTCTGAATGTATATTATCCTATAATGATTTTTATTCAAATATCTGGTC